CAACCACTTTTTGATATCTTTCAAAAGAAGCGAGATATATAGGCTCAAAGTGGCCGATCCGGGTGTCGTTCTATTAGAGGTTTTACGGTATCTGAAGTAGTATTGACCTAAAGTTTTCTGTTTCAGATAGAAAATTTAGATTGCTCGCAGATAGAATAGACGCTGTAGATGTCCGCAACACACTAGATTATGTATGAAGTGACCGCTCAAAAATAAAATTTCAAAAAAAAAGAGCTTTTCCGGAGGCTTCGCGACTACAAACTACAAATTATTGTTAACCTCCGTGAAAAAACTTTGGAGCGTCGTTACTCGGCTCATTTCTAACCGTTTCTGATGTTTTTGGGCTCGAAATTTCTGAAGTTTTAAGTAGAACTCCGATTGGTAAATATGTATCATTGTGTACAACAACAAGACAGTGAAGACTTTACGGGACTATGAGAATAGTCCCGAGGCATATACTATGGAATCTATAGCTCAAGGGAAACAGAAATATTTCAATTTTCTCTCGAGTTATTGTATTTGAAATCATCATTCTTATAATAAATAAATGTTGCGGTTAAATCGCGCCGAAGGCGAACACAGCCAACTGTTTGAAGTGCCGGAGGCCCGGTAGACAGGCTGGTTATGAAAAAGAAACAAGTCATCGTCTAGTAAATCACACTTTCTTTGAAAACCCATTTCGCTTTAATGTAACAAAGTGACAGAATGAAATCCGAGATAAGCATCTAAAAACACAGTAGTACAGTTCGATCATAAAGTTCGACTTGTTTGATTTACAGACCGGTAGAATCCTCAACCTCAACCGCTTCATCATCTGCTTCGTCACGTCGTCCGATAATTTCTTCTTCAAATCATCATCCGCCTATTTCTGCATCTCCGTCTCCACCTGTTCTTCTCTCTTCACCACCTCCACCACCACATCCTCCCATTCCATCAAATTGTTCTTCGATCGCTCATTCCGCGAATCCCCACATTTCTCGGTGTTTCGATATGCGTCCTCTCTCGCTTCCACACAAAGAAATGCAACGAATCGAGAGGGAGCAATCAAACAGGTCGGTCAAACTTCTTATTCCTAATCGTTTTGATATTCCTGAGCACTATGCAATTACTCCGGCTTGTCCGAAAAGGTAATCCAATGGTTTTTGGAATCTCGGAATTTGAAAATATTTTCTGAAACTTTTAATTCATAATTCATAATTCTTTTCTCATAATAGTGAAAGTTAGATCAGGTCTGATTCTGGAAGCCCTTGCTAAGTACTAACTAGTAGCTTCGATTTTCAAACAAAGTCACTGAAACTGCAATTATATGAAACTGGAATTTTAAGAAAAAAGTTGTTGGATTTTCCGAACCAACTAGTTTCCGTTCAGCAAACTATTTTCTCAGAATTATATGTCCAAATCCGCTGACTTTGTATTTTTTTTTCAACTTCAGATGCATTCAATTGAATTCATGGAAACGGCTCATCTTATTGAGCTTCATAGTTCGAAAAATAAGTAAAAGAGATAGAGATTTTTGTCGATTTCTGAATCACATAAATAGTTTTTGTGTTCGAACTTATACCCAGACTGAAGCAATGATTTAGAGATTTCCGTTTTTAATCAAGTCTCTGAAACGAGAAAAATCAAACCAAATGAATGAAATTCGTCATTCCCAAAAATGATATTCTGAAGTTTCAGAAGAATATGTGATTTTTTTTTTGGAACTAGAATATTCTGAGTTTCTAAATTCTGAAAGAGAAAAACCACTCTTCCACTTATAGAAGCTCACCCAAACCGTCAACTTTGAGTTCAATTATCTCAATTCCTGCGAGAGTTATCAAAAATGTGTCAACTGATAAAATGATGGTGATATTATGACAATCATTTCATCAGTTGGCAAACGTTTGTTATCTTTTACAGGAATCGAGATAATTGAGCTTGAGTTGCAACTATAGGGTCGAATTCAGTTAGAGTAGTTACGGTACTCAAGAATTTGTAAGTTTAAGTAGTCTTCGAAAATGTAATATTCTGACAATAGGTTTTCTGAAGCTAGAATTCGTTACAAACTGTGTTTGATGAAAAACTAGTATATTCATAAGATACCTGAAACCGTGAAATTAAATTTGAAACGTTTTTTTTTTCGAAATACACAACTTTTACAGATGGAACAAAACCACAAAATATTTACATAGTCTAGATAAAATCCCTACAGCATTATCATGTTCAGTAAACTAACTATTCTGTAGATTCACTGAAACTGTAAAATTTTCCAGCTATGCATTTTTTTTCTTCATTAAATCATAACGAACATGAGAAGCAAAAGTTTTCTCTTGCCAATCCGAAACAGTAAACTTTCTTAAACTTCTCGCTTCCCCTTATAACCAGTTCCCTCTGAAATTCGTATGAAACAAACAGTAACATTTCGCTTCTCTCCACGTTTTTTTCTCCCATCATTTTAACTTCAAGAGAATGTTCAGTTTTATCTGATCTATCTCATGTTTTCACACCTTTTCCAAAAGAAAAAAAACTTTCGGAAAACTTTCTCCTCGAATGACACATTTAGTAACATCGAAACGATCGTCGAAACGGAAGAAGCTTCTAGGGGAAAATGGTTTTTAAAATTCACTTGAAAGAGAAAAAATCTCACTACGAAATCCGAATCGTAGTCCATTGACCATGAAAACAGAACGGACATGATCAAAAGCGTTTTCGACGTCATCTCTCGGAAAATGATGTGGATCTTTTGATTGCATAATTCTCTCCAATTGTGTATGAATGATTGTGTTTGATTAGGTGATTCGAAATTTTAGTGAGAATTCGGAAGTTTACAGAAAAAATGAATGGAATCAAGATATGCTTTATTATCGATATTTAGGAGATTTCTATAATGTTTATAGACATAATCATAAAAGGTGAATTACGATTTACATTACTATTAGTGAAGCTGTAAGTTTGATTAGTCTGAAAACTATTTGATTATTTAATTATCAGCTACATATTTCGAATCAAATTGAGGATGGCATGAAACAGTGAAATTTTTAAACATACATAGATGACCCAATGGTTCAATTTTCTGTTATTTATTTTTATTCTGAAACAGTAAAGTTAAAACATCACGCTACACAGAAATATTTTTGATTGAAATTTGCTCTTAAAAGCCACGGCAGCGGGTGCCTTTCCTACGTGGCAAATTTTCCGGATTTCTTTCAATTTCATGTCCGGCAGGTAAAAAACGTAAAAAACCACTGTCGGCGACTTGAAAAAAAGGCTGTCAGGTGCCGTGGCCTAGGTTTCTCACTGAAAATCCTCGTCCCCCGGCGGCACCTTTTTTTTGAATTTCCTTCCTTTTCAACGCCGTTTTTCGGAGATTTCGGATTTTCTTTGAATTTTTTCGCAATAATATTCGAAAAATAGATAAATTTTAACACATTTTAATGCAATAAAAATTTTTGGTCGGAGTCCCCCTTTAAGATGAATTGAACATTCCTATAAACTGGTATTTTATTTCCAATTTTTGAAACTGTGAAATGTGTAGATTAAGAACATAAGACGTAGTTTTAACAAAATAAATTTGTCTTTTTAAATCATTCTCTCCAATACTTTTAGTTCCCGAGATTTCCTTTTTTCTTTATTCCAATTCAAAAATAATTATTGCAGAGTGCTGATCATCACTCTTCTCATAATCACAATTTTCATCGTTATGTTCGCTTTGGGAATCTACGTTTTCTACGATGCCATCGCTGAACACATCAACAATATTGCTGGAAGCTTCTAAATTTTGGATGGCAAACTTTTTCTAGTCCGGTCTCTTTTATTGTACGGGTTTTTGTACTTTTTCTGAGTGATTGATTTTCTGATTGACTGAATTTTTTTTTTGAAATCGAATAAAACTTTTTTGGAGTTTTCTATGATGTGCTGAAATACAAAAAAAATGTTTGAATTATCAAAAAAACAATGGTTATTTCATATTTTCAGATTTTTAGACTTTCAGAGTGTCAGAAGTTCAAAATTTTGAGAATTTCCGGATTTCAGACTCTGGGAACTTCAAAATTTCAGATTTTCAGACACTTCGAATACCTAATTTTCTAATTTTTGGAAATTGTTTTATCTGTTTCAAAACTTCATTTTTAGGGAAATAGGTACGTCAATAATGGTTGTCCAAAATTGTCTACTTCAATCCTTTTCTCAATCGTCGTTTCTAAATTTGCTGATAACTTTTTCGCATTAAAGCGAATTTCCATCATCACAGATTTACTTCTCTCCCCCTGTATCACCCTCTTATCATATCTTTTCTTTGTCTCTCCGGTTCCAAACTAGATTCTCCATTTCTTCATCTTTCGGTCTCTCATGAACTGATTGCCCAGCCCATTTTCGATTTTTTGTTGGATCGGAAGCTTTTTGATCATTGGAATTGGTTGAATGTTACATTGTTTCAATTCTCAGTGAATTCTTTTTCTCACATGAGACAAAAAAGACATGATTTTTTTCTCCGCTTTCTTATCGGATTTTATATAGCGGGAAAATGGATAAAAACATGACGAAGGGAAAGGGGAAGAGACGTTCAAAAGTTACGTCAGGCATCTATGAAAAAAAAACGATGATGGGAAAAAATCAGATAGATCAATCTGTGTCTAGAACATTTTTCTGTTTTAAAGTTTCGATGAATTCTGAAGAATTTTTTTAATAGTAAATGGGAGTTTCGTTTGGTAATAGTGACTAATCAGAAACCAGAGAAGTTCAGAATCTTGGTTTTTCCGGTCCCAAAGTTTCAGAATGTTTGAAAACTTTTGAACCTGAGGAAGCGGGATTCAAAGATTTTTAGAATTCAAAAAAATCTAAAAGGCCCCTCTAATACAAGTTTTACAGTAAGAAATCCAGGAAATCAATTTTTGAGGTTACGGTAGTTGTCGTGGGACCATCGGTCACAACCACCTGCGTTTCACTTGAATAACTGGAACTTTTTGTACCGGAACAATAGCCTTTGAAATTATTTAAAAGTTCAGATTATGGTAATTGAATATTTTTTATGCTTCGACAACTTCACAAAAACTATACAACACCGGTTTCCATAATAGGAAATTGTATGTAAGCGAAGATCAACATAAAAAAAATATAAGAATCAAATCAGAATTTAGTATTTTGACAATATCTTGTTCCAAACCTATTGATATTCGAGAAGAATCGTTTATTCAGACCAATTGAACAAATTTAAAAAAAACCAAAAAAATTATGAATAGAATCATTTCACCGGTATTTCGAATCGTCGACAAAGTGGACCTAAATCGTATTTACAGAAAAGAGAAAAAGAGAGATTTTACTGTGGTTTCAAAGTGGAAAAATTGATTGGTGGAGGGGGTTCTACAATTGAAGTTAGTGTTTCATTCAAACCCAAATGAGTCGAATTTGGAACTTCTCCATAGATGAAGGCAGGTCTCATATCGACAATCGTTGTCACTGCTCCAACAATCAAAACGATCAGAAGGCCAAGAAGAATTGCTGTGTAGATCGGAACACATGAGAATGGAGGACGCGGATGGAAGTCGGTTCGTTGAATCGCCTTCTTTTTTGGCTTTTTGATTGTCACTGCACATTCCAAATATGAAATATAAAAATTATTGCGAGATGCACATTATTGAGAAAGCCATGAAAACATTTTTTAATATTTTAATTATGAAACGGTTAGGGTTGGAAAACTAGGACAAACAGGGGCTCTTTGACATCCACTTTCAGTATCTCAAACAGTTTCGCCTCGTATTACACTTTGAAATAAAAATATTTTAAATGTTGGTTGTGAAACAGTACAGAAATTCCCAATCGCCAAAAATTATCAAAATACACCTTACTTTGAGCTCAATTATCTCGGTTTCGATTTGAGATGTCAAAAATTTGCAAACTATACAACGTTGGTGATAATAAAACACAGGTTTTATCAGTAAACAAATGTTTGTTATTTTTTATCGAAATTGAGGTAATTGAGCTCGAATTTAAAAATTAAGGGACCTTCTTTTACAGGTTTACTGTATTTCAATACGCAATCCCCTTCAAATCAATCCCTTCATTAAATTGTGTTCGGTCAAATAACTCGCATGAAACAGTAAGTCCCCGATCTATCTCTAACTTCTTCATTATTATTTGAAGCAGAAAAGTTCAAAAAACTAAAATCGACAAAAATTATATAATGGGGTTATTCAGGGAGTCGGCAAAAAGGAAAAAAACTCCGCGAAAACTCGGAGAGTGTTCCAATTTAGCTGAA